CACTTGTGATAACTCAGTTTATCATCCTTACAGTAGTCAAGGAATAAAACAAAAATAGTTACTACTCCTGACTTCAGATTTCCAGCTTTATTGAGTTAAATAGTTCGAATGTAGCCATCTAACGCCCCTCTCTGTGTGTGTCTCTTCTCTCTATCACCTATCTAATCTATCATTTATCTATGTATTTATCTCTCCAAATATCTATCTATATAATCTATGTATTTCCCAAATTAAAAAGAAATCTAAGTCTAAATATAAAATATCAGAGGAAAAAAACCGTTGAAAATAGCACTTTCAATAGACATAGCTATAGGTTGGTATAGTGTCTTAGCTTGTCTACAGCTATCATTCAAAGCCCAAAAGAAATTTTTTATAAGAGTAAAAAATATTTTTATTCAAGAGTGATGAATATATTAGTAACCTAGTGGAATGATTTTGAGAATGAATGAAGTAACTGCTTTACAAAATCCCAATTTAAATACATCTAGACCTGTAAATTAGGAGCTCTGGTAGCATAGTGGCTAAAGCACTTGACTGCTAACCAGAAGGCTGGTGGTTCAAACCCACCAGCCACTCCTCAGAAGGAAGGTTGGGCAATCCTAGTTCCGTAGTGATACTGCCTCGGAAACCCAAGGAGGGGTCGCTATGAGTCGGGGCCAACTCGACGGCACATAACAACAACAACAACAGACCTGTAAATTAACATTGACATTAAATAGATGAATGTTCATGTAGTATTTCAATATCTTCATTCAAATAAAGAGAAAACTGCTATTTTCACTATATATAATAATACATATAGAAAACAATAGTCTACTAACATAATGTATCTAATCAGCATTTTAGGAAAAAATGGGCTTATTCATCTGTAGATAAATGTATTACTTTTAGATTTAAGAACAATGAAATTGAATGCCCAAAATAATATAGTTATAGTCATGAGTGACGAATGACTATCACTTCCATATTATTTTATGACTTACAAAAGGACTTAAATTTCTTACTACTATTTACTAAAATCAGACTCAATTAAGAAGACAAAACAGTTTTTTGTGGTCTCTACAAACAAGAAAAATTAATATTTAATAATTTATAACATCTGAATCTAGCACAAAAATTTCATTAGAAAGTAAGTAATCATTTTTTTTTGTTTGCTTGCTTCTCTGTAACTATATTTCTTTCCCCAATTCATGTAGACTTTTCAAATTACTAACTGTATTTTGAAGATATTTCAAAATTATGAGTTGAAAGGCAACAGATTATGAGAACACTGATGATTTGGAACCAGAACAAAGTAATTTAAGAAACTCAGTTGAAAGAACAATGGAGTGGTACTGAATTGGAGCAACAATTAAAAGCACATATTGGGGAACTGTAATCACAATTAGAGAAAATATGTGACTGCTAATATTTCTATATGTTTCACAGATTTAAAAAGTCTGTTTATAAAGTAAAACATGCTGAGTGAATTGGCACTACAAAATTGTCTAGATTTTATAAGAATTTATTGTAATGATTTATTAAATATACATATAAATGCATCTCAAATATTATTTATGCCCTCCTTCTTTGGAATATTTAAGCAGAATTGAGATCATTTGGAAATAATCAGCCAAGTACAAAGATGAAAAAGAAGGAAAAACAGTATTTCAATGAGTAAAGCTTAATGTATACATTACAGTGAATGAGAGGATGTTTAAGTTATCAATGTTACAGGGTCAGTTATCACTTGCCTTGTCAAACTGCTATAATTTTATGAATCACCTGCCTTGTGAAACTGCAACAAATATACACGTTACCTTTCTGGGTATCAGTTTATTTCCTGATATTAGCTTAAAGTAAATCCTGTTATTTCTGCTTCTGAAGTTTTTTTTTTTTTCCCCCATATTGATATAATAAGATTCGAAGGTAAAATGAAGAACCAGTCAGGGAGATAGAGTTTATTCTCTTGGGACTGACAGATGATGCACAGCTACAAATTGTGATTTTTATATGTCTTCTTCTCAACTACAGTTTGAGTGTTGCGGGGAACTTATCCATCCTCCTCCTCACCCTGCTGGATCCTCGCCTCAAGACTCCAATGTATTTCTTTCTCCGAAATTTCTCCTTTTTGGAAATCTCATTGACAACAGTCTGTATTCCTAAATTCCTGACAAGCATTGTGACTAAAAACAAAGTCATTTCCTACAATGCTTGTGCATCTCAATTATTCTTTTACCTCTTATTAGCAATTACAGAGTTTTACCTTCTGGCTGCCATGTCTTATGACCATTACATAGCCATCTGTAGACCCTTGCATTACCCCATCATTATGAACAGAAAAGTGTGCTACCAACTTCTACTCTGTTCATGGGCAACTGGCTTTCTCAATAGCTTTCCACCCTTGATCTTTGGACTAAAGTTGGAATTCTGTGCTTCCAAAATAATTGATCATTTCATGTGTGACATTTCTCCTATCTTGCAGATTTCTTGCACAGACACTCACTTCCTAGAATTGATTTCATTTGCTTCATCAACTGTAACTCTTATTGTCACATTGCTATTAGTTATTATATCCTACACATATATAATACGGACCATTATAACAATCCCTTCTACTCAAAAAAGAACAAAAGCTTTTTCCACTTGTTCTTCCCACATGATTGTAGTCTTCCTTACTTATGGCAGCTGTATCTTCATTTATGCGAAGGCATCAGCAAAAGAGAGGGTGACCTTATCCAAATGTGTAGCTGTTATTTATACGTCAGTTGCCCCTTTATTAAACCCCTTCATTTACAGTTTAAGAAACCAGCAAGTGAAACAAGCTTTTATGGACACATTCAAAAAGATACTCATATTAGTTAATAAATGAAGATAATTTTTAAAAATCTTGAACAAAACATTCAAGAAAGTTTATTACTCTTATGTTCATGATTACTTAATATATTCTTTCAATTCCTTAACTTTCTTATAACATTTTAAACAAATTCTTGGCAACGTATACCTTTTCCTATCTCTCTTATCTTTAATATTTCTTGCAGTGTTCTAGAATTTTACTTTCAAGCTTTCAACACAAATTTTAACTTCTTTTTTACTGCCCAAGATGTGGAATGCCACTTCCCTAAAATAATAATGTTAAAGTACATATTAACATATTCCATACAAATTTATGTGGATAATTATATTAGTTAACACCCACTTTTTGTATATACACATCCCAGGTTCTACATTGGTCATAATTTTTGTCCTCATTAGAATGGTTCATGTTACTGTGAAGGAGACAAATAACAACACCAACAATCATCAACGTGTGTGATTTTTCTAAAATAACAGAGATATGTACAGAATTGTGGAAACATACAAAAAAATAGCAATGAATATTTAATTATTTCAGTGACATAAGAATATAGTGCTGAAAGGCAATTCTTGCAACAGTTGCAATATACAGGGAACAAGGAAGAGTAAAAGGATTTAACAGATGTGGGCTTAAGAACAGGCACACTGGGGGTCCTAGTTCAAATATCACTAGGTCTTATCATTTTCCTGGTATTTAGGATCATCATCATTTGAGCCTGCCTGCCAGGCTATAACTCCAGACTCACATGTCAGCCTGGTCTAGTTTCTCAAACTCTGTTGCTAAGTTTCTCTATCTACAAAATAAATATAATAATAGTTACTACTAGTAAGGTTATTTTGATAATGAAATGAGGGAGTATATATAAAGCAATTCTAGGTCAGCACCTAGCCCACAATAAGCTCTCAGTAAGTGTCAGCTGCCCTTTAGGGGGAAGGGTTGCTGCAGTTGGAATTAATTGTCACAAGGCAAGAAGAAAAGGTAGACTTCAAATCCTAACAATCTTATATGCACTGAAATTTGTGGGAACTTCATCTGGCAGACCTGCAAATCTACATGAAAATTTAGTGTGAATAGATCATTAGGATACAAATTGTGTGTGTCTATTTCTTAAAACATCTTTTCAAATCACATGGAATGATCTAGAAACAAGAGCTGAAGGTGATTCTCAGCCAGATATTTCATAGGAGGGTTTCCTTTTTTAAATCTAAGCCATCTATGTGATCAATTATTTATTTTATGGAGATTGCTTTGGCAAATGTGCTAAGAATGGATTTTTAGATGTTTGCTCTTAGAAGACCATTTTTTAAGTTGAATGAGATATTTTAAGAGTTAAAAATAAAATAGTGACACTGAATCAAAAGGTCAGGAAGTGAACTCCAGAGTTGCTTAGAAGAATTCATTGAAGTTAAACTATCAAATATTTGCATAGGTAGTATGAATGAAAGAAGGTTATTAAAAAAAAAAAAAAAAGATTCTTCCTGGACTCTCCCCAATTTTCACTCTCATACACAAGCACCTATATATTTAATGTCATTCCAAAAGGGAAGTTTTATAAATATACTTTCGTATCCCCAAAAAATCACCTATAAAACATATGACATTCCATATTGTATATAGTTAGCCATCAGAGATATAAGAATGAAGAATTCATTATGTGTTTGAAGGTGTAATGATTATCTATGTAGACTCAAGTAGAAGTGGTTAAGTTCAGATTTCTGTTCAAAGGAATTTTACAAGCTTTCAAAGTAGGAATTGTGAGTTAAATCCTCTTCCTTGGCATGGAGAAGGGTGTGAGGTCGCATCATGTATTCAAGGCCACAAGAACCTACATCCACACAGTTTGTTTTATCAATAAACTCTTTAAAAAATATTATACCCTTATATATAATTTCCTGGTTGTATTTTTTAAGTGTCCTTTGATGCACAAATACCTTTCTAAAAATGGAGAAAAGAAAATCCTTGCTTTTATCATATACAATGTAATTTGTATGATATTTTTGCAAAGAGTAAGTGGGGCAGAGATATATTGAATATGATTGAAAATAAAGTCTATTCATATGAATTCATTAGTTTTAAGTTAAGATGCTCACTGTAATCTCCAAAAAAAACAATATGAAATATATATTGTAAAAGATTCAGTGACAAATTTTAAAAGTACATTAGAAATATTGATTTTACATAGAAGAAGCCAATAATTTAAGAATAGAGTAACTTAAAAAGACATAAGACATATAGATTGAGTTAAATTTAAATACTGACTCAAGCCAATTGAAAAGCAAACATTGGAAAAATATATTAAAAAGAAAACATGATCCAAATATATATATCAATCTACAATAGATACACTTAAGGTTTAAAGACACAAATGGGTTGAAAATAAAAGATGGTAAAAGATATGGCATGTGTTATGAATTGAAAGTTTACCTGATAGCAATATGTTAAATTCTCTGGTGGTGTTGTGCCTAAGGCATTTGACTTCTATCCAGAAGGCTTCCAGGTCAAATCCATCAGCCACTCCTGGAAAGGAAGGTTGGGCCATCTACGTTTGTAGTGATACCATCTTGGAAACCCAAGGAGGGGTCACTATGAGTCAAAATCCACTCGATGGCAGTGAGTTTTGTTTTTGTTTTTGTTTTTGTAGATGTCAAAATGACCTTTTCTGGGGGAATAGAGTTATTCTCTGAAGATATTAGGTAGGCCTTAATCCTAATATTTTCTGGGTTGTGTATTATAAAATGACAGAGGAACATGGATTTGGAGAGAGCCACACAGGCAAGACAGATGCTATGTGAACACGGAGGCCAATGCATCTACAAACAGCCCTGGAATGCCAAGAAATATCAGTGGCTACAGAAGCTGAGAGAGACAGGGGGGTCCTCCCCTAAATACAGAAAAGAAAGTGCACAGCCCTGCCAATAGCCAAAATTTAAACCTCTACCCTTCAGAACTGTGAGATAATAAATAATGTTGTTATGGCAGCCCTAGGTAACTAAGACATCTTGTAAGCAATACCAAAAAGGAGCTGAATTAACTATACTATTATCTGATACATTAGACATTAAGTGGAATAAAAGTTATCACAT